CTGCCAGCCCCAATCCCCCGGAAGGAGGAGGAGCGACCCAACGTCACTGCAGGCTGGAGGAAATGACCCAAAATGCAGACGAATCGTGGGACCACGACAAGCCACTTGCAGAAAATGCACCACCACAGACTTTGCAAACATCAACAGACAAAAAGGGGTCGAAAATCTAAGAGCCAGAACCCAAGCCGATTCCAAAGAGTGGACGAGCACAGCCTGTCGGCACGGGAGGCGAGAAGCAAAGAACAGGGACACCACCTCCCCCCAGCTCCTCCACATCTTCCTCGGGCCAGTCCAAAGACAGCTCCAGTAGAGAAAAGAAAGGCAAGACCAAAGCCAAATGCCCACGAGCGCACAAATCCTCGATCACCAGGGACGCTGAAATGGAGGCAACCTGCGCATGAAGCTGCACCTGGTCGACATCACGAGGAAAAACAGGAGCGAACAAGCACGCATTGAGGTGCTCAAACTCGCCCCCTAGGTAAATCTGAACAACCGTAGTCAACTCCAGCCATTCAAGCGCGCAGGTTCGACAATACAATTGCCACACCCCCTACAAAAAGAAAGGGCAGTCCACCAACCAGGAAGACTCTGGCACCACATAACTCACCCAGTAAGGAAATGAGGGGACCAAACTTGAAAGAAGAAGGACCCATTACAAGGCGTAATTCGGACCTCACAAGAGGTAAGTCGCAAGAGCCTCCCATACCACCTTCGGTGTGATGTGGGAAGCCGAAAATCTCTGGAAGGAGGGGAACCGAAGAACCCAAGGGAACCCGAAATCGAACCCAGGGAGGAGTTGCACTCGTATTAAAATCGCTCAGGGAGGGGAGGATAGGAAAACCCCTCCCCCTGTCACAACAACCTCCACCCCGAGAGTACCAACAACCAAACGGGGCCTGCCCTGCCAGCCCTGTACCAACAACCAAACGGGGTCAAATGGGGCCTAATCCTCCAAGTCAACTCCTCCCCAGGCCTGGGAACCTCCACATCAGGGCCCAGGGGCCAAGCAGTCCTCCAAACCCTCTGCCTCTGGAGAAAAAGCAAAGTTCACAGGAAAAACCGGGATGAAGGGGGCCCTGCTGGCATGACCCAAAAGCTCCGACAGGAGGTACAGGCTCGATTGCCTTCGCCACCGATCCGGAAGGGGCAATCCCCGAAGCTGCCCGAGACTCACCAGGCAAACCCTGCCCTAACTCCAAAACCTTCAGACATTTGGAAACTGGAAGCAGGATGAACCACAGCAGGAGAAGGACTAGGGGGTGCAAATGAAGCCAAAGTCGAGGCGACTAACACTTCCCAAGTCCGGGTCCCTATAACCAAAGCGGGGCAGCTGCGGGGCATCCAGAAAAGCAAGCAACCTTGTGCGTTGTGCGTTGAAGCAACCTAAACCGCACATGCAACGCCGAAGCTGCATGCACCCGAATATCAATCTCAGTGGACTGGGTGAATTGGAGTACAAGCTATGAACACTACTCGTAAGTCCGAGTCAAAGGTGCCACTGACCCAACAGGCAGCATGGCAGAGGCAAAGACTGAGTGTCACCCTGAGTCAAAGGGACAGAGCAACCTTCAAACTCACTCAATGTGAGGTGGGACTCGGAGGTCTCCTCCATTGAACCCCAGTGGGGGTTCCCAGGGGCCCTTAAGCTGACTGCTAAGGGAAGCCCAGACGAGGTACCGCTAACCGGTTATCCCAGAGCTACCAAGCAAACAAACTAAAAGCTGAACCCCTGCGATGTGTGCAAGCACAGGGACCTAGGTGGAGGGCCACCAAAATCATGTAAGTGGTCCTACCCCCACACCAGGCAAACAAAAAACAAAAACAAAAAACAAACACAAAAGAAAAACCCCACAGAAGCACAATGTCTCCAGGTAAACAGAACCCCTTCGCTATGCATATATCAGACAGCAGAACAGTACCTCGTGCCCCAGCCAATGACGAAACTATATCCTACCCAAGGTTAAACAGGAGTAAGAACCACCCCAGCTGAACCCCAAGGGCGGGCAATCACCGAGCAGCAACAGAACCATGCGGAAGTAGTTCTAGAACGGGTCAGGGAAGATAACCCTAGGCCGCAGGGCCAGTACTTACAGGGCACCTAGGGAAGGTGGCCCTTGGTGCATGCAGCCCCAGTACTCTTGTGTTACTCCTGGCTCACACAACACCAACACTAAACAACACTGCCCTGCAGCACTGCTTAAAGGATGGAGCCAGAGTTGATCGACTGCCACCGACACAACAGCCTCTTGAACTGGGGAGAATAACCAACGTGGAGGTCTGGGACCCACCATCCCCATCCCGGGGAAAGGGGGGGGGGGTTGCTAGCAACGGAGTCAGTGGCGGGAATTGTGGAAGGTACCGAGGGGTGTCGGATGATTCTGGTGGTACTGGTTGATGGTTGATGCTGGTGGTGGTATCGGGAGAGGATAGTGGTGTAGGGATGAAAGTACTGGTAGATGATGGTGATATCAGGGAATACTGGTAGACAGCAATAATGGTTATAACCCTTCACACTTAAAGCTCTCATTCTCACTTTCTCATGTTCTCTCTCCTATACATACAACAGATCTATTTAGGTTAGGTAAGAATGGTTAGTGATACATAGACATTATTACAGGAAAGCATAGAGGTGGACGAGGCGGGAAGCATTTTGGACCGGTGATGAATGACCTTCTTTACAAAGTTTTGCAATTAGCCAACAGATATTATGAACTGTAAACTTTCAATACATGTCCACTCACTGTAAAACCTTAATTGCTTCACTGAAACTGCCTAAAACACTTTGAATATATTTTCTGTAAACGTTTCTCCTACCGAACGCCTATATTGCTACTATGTTGCTGCCGCATGTCCTTGTTGGAATTTACTACTCTACAAAGAACAAAACCATAATTACAAAATAATGTGTGAAACAATATGAAAACTGTATGAATCATTTTGAAACTGCCCTTTGGATTTTTTCCTTTTAACTTTGTTCACCACATATTTTTACAGTATTATTTATTATTGCAACATTGAAAATATCAAGGTTTCTATGTTTGTAACATTGCACTGCAGCATATAGCATTGCATCCTGTTGAACATTCCTGTTTATATTCTTGCAACATTGCATGCGAGGATAGAGTGGTTGGTTGTAGTCTACATTTACCCTACTAATTGAGAATATGAGAAGCTATATAAAATTGGTTGGTGCTGAACAGTGTAAATGATGAACTATATAATATTGACAGGTACTGAACTGGGCATATGATGAATAATATAATATTGTCGGGTACTGAACTAGGCATATGATGAACTACTTAATATTGATGGGTACTGAACTGGGCATATGATGAACTACATAATATTGATGGGCACTGAACAGTGTAAATTATGAATTTGTAATACTATGGGGTACTAAACCGGACATCTGATGAATTTATAATATTGGAATGCTCTGCAAATCAAGGGGCCCAGAATGTGGAATGACCTTCCGAATCACGTCAAAGACTGTACCTCTCTCTCAACCAGTTTAAGAGGAAAACTAAGTATGCAGACGAGGAGTCACAATAACGTGGCTAAAATATGTTGACCTAGCCACATACTAGAAAGTGTAGGGTCGACGATGTTTCGTTCCTTCCTGGACCATTCTCAAGTCGATTGTGAATGGCCACATTCACAATCGACTTGAGAATGTGAATGTGACAAAGTCGAGTCAAGTCGATTCTCACCTGGACCATTCTCAAGTCGATTGTGAATAGTCTATGACTGACCGAAACGTCGTCGTCCCATCACTTTCTAGTGTGTGGTCTGGTCAACAAAACTAAGTACTATGTAATAAACTCCATATAACCTACCTTACCCCTTAAATGTTAACCGATATCTTGTTATTTTCAAACAACATCGATTATTGACCAACTTGTTTAACTGCTGATATCCGCTATGTATAAACTTGAAGAGAATTGTAGTCTTCTGCTTATTTCTGCTATTCTGTTTCAATTTCTGCTATTCCGTCCATCATGTAATCAATTAAATCTCAATGATCTCAATTAAATTTAAGTTTTAGTATAAGTGTCTTTCCTACATCTTGCCCGAAATGCTGTGCCTATTAGTGACTTTAGGCATAATATGTACTAGCTCTATCTAGAAATTCAACATTCTGTTTGTAACTCATCTTTTATGTATGTACTTTACCTAAATAAACATTTATTATTATTATTATTTATATTATTATTTATATTATTATTATTATTATTATTATTAATATTATTATTATTATTATTGAACTGGGCATATGATTAGATAAATAATATTTGTGGGTACTGAATAGTGTATATGATGAGCTGTTAATGTTGGTGGATATTGATCAAGGCATAGATGATAGTAAGTGAGAGTACTAAACAAGGAATTTTTCATGATTTGTGTTTTCTGGAGAAAGCTTAGGTATCTAGTAACAACTCTTTAAGCATTATTTAAAAACAAGCCAAACGTTTTTTTAATTGTAAGCATCTTTAAATCCTAATATATAACCCTAATAAACAATATCTTCAATAGAGAGTTTTTGCCATTTAGTTTATATATACTGTTGGAATAACAATTAAAACATATACCAAGAATCTATATTCTTAGTTATTTATATGTGTAGAAGTTATTTATTTACCAAACCAGTTTTTATTTTGAAAATATAATAAGAAAATTATGTTTTTAAAAGCTAATCTTTCTCAGTTTTTAGTCAGATTTTGATGAAGTTGTCACATGTTGCATGATATCACGTTATACATTGGAATGCATGTTAATGCCAATATTGTCTTTTCTTTTTTAAATTAGACTTAAATATTTAAAATATAATTTGAAGGAACAAACTAGAGAAATACATTAGTATTTATATCATAATATGTCCACCATAATATTTAATACATCTTAGAAAATGAAATATATAAGAGTTCAGAATATGTATTAACTTAAAACCATTTAAAGTCGAGTTGCACCAATTTAACAAGAACTACATTCTCTTAACACACCTCCAAGTAGGTACCAGTAGCAGATCCTTTTAGCCATATTATGGTAGCAGACGGGTCGTCCAGCACCTGTCGTCGGGACTGGTAGGGTTCGGATATGTGTCTGACAGCCAGGAGAGCCATGAGGTTGCCGGCGTAGCTCTGCGTCAGCACCACCGTCACCAGGCCCCACACTGTCAACACCACCCGCTCCCACCACCAGTCTCCTCCGCCCATGATGTCTGGAAAAAACTTTTTATATCAAGTCTAACAAAAAATAACTGTGGTACGTGGACATCAGAAGCTCTTTAGGGAGCATGTATAGAAAATAAATGATGCACATTGCGAGACACAAAATATGACAATTGTAAACAAATAATATTTCAGCAAAACTGTCATTGGATCCTTCGTTTATTCTTCGTTTTTCCAAACGCCACCGCTTTCAATAGTCGCTTTATCTACATGTGGAAGACCACTGTAGATGCTGCCAAGACGAAGCCTAGGGTATGTGGAAGACCCTTGTAGATGCTGCCAGACCGAAGCCTAGAGCATGTGGAAGACCCCTGTAGATGCTGCCAGAACGAAGCCTAGAGCATGTGGAAGACCCCTGTAGATGATGCCAGACCGAAGCCTAGGGCATGTGGAAGACCCCTGTAGATGCTGCCAGACCGAAGCCTAGGGCATGTGGAAGACCCTTATAGATGCTGCCAGAACGAAGCCTAGAGCAACGGCTCACTTTCCCTGGTCACTTGTCGAGTTAAGGCTTCCTTGGTGGTTAGCCTCCTCATGACAGGTTCCTATAGGATCGTGATAGAGGTTGTGCCGTCACCCTTGCATGTAATGAAGGATGTTAAGGTTCTATCATTGAACTGATTAATAAGATGAATGTCCAGCACTGGGCCACTGACGACAGTCAGTATCACTAAGAGAGATATCTGATGGAAAGATGGGTTAAAACTAGCATGTTTATTAACAAGTTTTTCACTCAGTACAGCAACTTGGGAATCTTTACTTTAATACAAATGTCATAACAAAATCTAGGCAAACACTAAGCTAGAAATGCATTCCCATAAAGTTGGTACAGTTAGACTCACAATCTCAACTCACTTCACAAGGGTTGCCAGTCATAACACGTTAGTGAAAACGAGTGAAATTATTGCTTCATAATCACTGCAGTCAATTAATATGACATACAATAGGGTCGGAACACAATCAAGGCTGCATGCAAAAATAAAACATATTACCCATGTGCTCCAATATAGCACTTGACGCGTTCTCTCAACAACATTTAGTCTAAAATGTGTCAGTCAATCACGTGTGGTCACCTTTGAATAAGGCGTGACACACCTGAAGGCTTCCACTTTTGCTCAGTGGATGAGGTTCAACTCAGATGAAAAGGTTCAATGATGAGCACCTTCATAATCTCGGTGCTAACCCGGCACTAATTCAAGCGTTCTCTGGTTATCAATGAATGGGTGATGAATTAAAGTCACCACACATGAGACTTCTGCTGAGTTTTAAAACTCATTAATTTACTTGGAACCTGAACCTATGCTTCGTCTTTTTTATACACTCTTACATGTCGAGGACGACCCAGGCAGCGCCGAGTGTGACCTGAAATGATGTAGCAGGTAGGTGTAGGCGCTTCCATGACAGGTGTCTTGAGTCCTGCACACCACTCATGATACGCGCACGCGGCGAGGGACCATGTCACTCTCAACGACTTGTGTGAAGTGGAGCTCAAACCTCCGCCGACGTTCATTAACGACACTCAACACCCAACCAACTCCTTGTGGCCAACAAATTACCATTTACACACACACACACAACTGCATTTTCTTGGACCGTAAGAAAGTCTTTGACACAGTACTCCATTAAAGACTGTTACAAAAGTTGAAGCAACAGGCAGTAGTAAAAAGGTAAGGTGCTCCAGTGGATAAGGGAATATCTAAGCAACACAAAACAGCGAATAAATGTAAAGGGGGAGACATCAGAGTGGCGTGATGTCACCAGTGGAATTCCACAGGGCTCTATACTTGGACCTATTCTGTTTCTAATATATGTAAATGATCTTCCAGAGGGTATAGACTCATTCCTCTCAATGTTTGATGATGATGCAAAAATTATGAGAAGAATTAACACAGATGAAGATAAACAGTTCACTGCAGGACGACCTAGACAAACTGGAGGAATGGTATAGAAAATGGCTACTAAAGTTGAACTCGGAACGTAGTTAAGCACAGGAACGTAGTATACCATACAAATTGAATAGATAGAATACTAATGACCCAAAGTGGATAACAAAGGATTTGAAGAACCTTATAGGTAAAAAGAGAGCGTGGTACAAAAGGATTAAGAATGGGGAAGTCAGTCTAGAACAGGAATTCATACAACTGGTTATAAATGTTAAAAAAGATATAAGGAAAGCAAATAGAAACTATGAAGTTCGCATAGCAGGGCAAGCGAAGACAAATCCTAAAGGGTTTTTTCAGTTATATCGAACTAAGACTAGGGAAAGCATAGATCCATTAAACACTGAGACCGGTCAAATAACGGATAATGACGAGGAGATGAGTAGTATTTTTAGTAAATAATTTATATCTGTATTTACTAAAGAGGAACTTAACAATATGCCTTCAGCCGAACAAGTCTATGTGGGTGGGGACGAGGACAGGTTGACTAGTCTAGCAGTTACCAGGGAGGATGTAATTAAACAAATAGTAAAACTAAAACAAAACAAATCCCCAGGGCCGGATGAAGTGTTTGCCAGGGTGCTTAAAGAATGACAAGAGGAGCTTTCCGAGCCACTGTCTATCATCTATATCTATCTATATAAATAAAAATTGAAATGTTCGTTTGTTCAAAATCGCTAATCTCCGAAAGTTCTAAAAGGATTGCTTTGAAATTTTCACACAACGTTCCATTCGCATCCGGCCAGGTTTTTATAAACATACTATGTAGATGTCACGTCTGTAACGGTTAAAAACATGTTTTTTTCTGAAAAACTGTGTTTTTTCATGTGAGAGAAATCTTTAAAACCTCTTTACCGATTGCTTTGAAATTTTGACACAACGTTGCATTCGAATAGGCGCGTCTTTTTCTATATCTACTCTATATATGCCTCACCTGTGACAGGAAAAAACATGTTTTTTTTTAAAAACAGCTCCATCTGATGAACGTAAGGGCTACACACGCTGTAATCTCCGAAAGTTATTCACTAATTGCTTTGAAATTTTGACACAACGTTGCATTCGAATAGGCGCGTCTTTTTATTTACATACTATATAGATGCCACCCCTGGTAAAAACAGGTAAAAACATGCATTTTTGAAAAACAGCGCCATCTGTTGCACATAATGGCAACATGCACGTTATACCAAATATGTCAGGAATTCCATTTCAATGTTTCCAATTGCATTGATAAATTTTATTTTCATAGATTTCGATATATTTTATTTTTTGTTCAATTATTTTGTGTGACATTGTGTTGGAATTGAGGTGTGTTCTTTACCATACCATTCATTTCGTAGGTATAAGTTTAGATGCCACACCTGTGTCAGGTAAAACTATGTTTTTTCATGAAAAACATCGCCATCTATTGCATAAAGGAGCAATACACATGCTATACTAGATATGTTATAATTCTGTTTCAATGTTTGTTTGTGCATAATCGCAAATCTCCGAAAGTTCTTCACCAAGCGCTTTGAAATTTTTACACAACGTTCCATTCGCATCCGGCCAGGTTTTTATATACATACTGTATACATGTTACGTCTGTGACAGTAAAAAAAAATTACTTTTTCTAAAGAACAGTTTTTCATGTGAGGGAAATCTTCGAAACCTCTTTACCGATTACTTTGAAATTTTGACACAACTTTGCATTCGAACTGGCGAGTTTTTTTTTATATACCTACTATATACATGCCTCATCTGTGACAGGAAAAAAACATGCTGTTTTTTAAAAAAGCGTCATCTGTTGGATGTAAGAGCAACACATGCTGTAATCTCCGAAAGTTCTTCACCGATTGCTTTGAAATTTTGACACAACGTTGCATTCAAATAGGCGCGTATTTTTATATGCCTCCTATATAGATACCACCCCTGTGACAGGTAAAAACATGCGTTTCTGAAAAACAGCGCCATCTGTTGCACATAATAGCAACATGCACGCTATACTAAATATGTCACCAATTCTATTTCAATGTTTCTGATTGCATTGATAAATTTTATTTTCATAGATTTCGATTTATTTAAATTTTTATTTAATTATTTTTGTGATATTGTGTTGGAATTGAGCTATGTTGTTTACCATAACGTTAATTTCGTAAGTATAAGTATAGATGCCACACCTGTGACAGGTAAAACTATGCTTTTTTTGAAAAACAACGCCATCTGTTGCATGTAAGACCAACGCACATGCTATACTAAATGTTGCAATTCCATTTCAATGTTTCTGATTGCATTGATAAATTGAATTTTCATAGATTTTGATTTATTTTCATTTTGATTTAATTATTTTTTGTGAATTGTGTTGGAATTAAGCTGTGTTGTTTACCATACAGTTCATTTCGTGAGTATAGTTTACTTTTTTATTTTTTCATATTCTCATTTCATTTTTTAACTATTTTTATTATATTTCAGTGATGGGAACATTAGATCACTTGATGTTCCCAATTTTCTGATGGGAACATCAGACCATATGAGAAACCATCGGACGAGGGAGTGGGGAATAGCAAGGATGATGAGTAGACAGAAGTGAGAGATAGTGGGGAGGACGAGGAAACAAGAGAGGGGGTAATGGTGGGGAAGGACAGGGGGACGGGAGTTTGGGATGGTGAGGACGAGGGGATGGGGGGAATGGAGAATAGTGGGGAGGACAAAGGGACAGGGGAGTGGAGAATGGTGGGAAGGACGAGGGGACAGTGGAGTGGGGAATGTTTGGGATGCCGAGGAGACGGGTGAGGGGGGGGGATGGTGGGGAGAACTGGGGGACAGGGAAGGTTGCTGTGGCTCAAGCTGAGCCACAGTAACGTGTGGCCGGGTACTGCTAGTATTTAATAAATCAATAGAGTTAGGCAGAGTGCCAGAGTCATGGAAGGTAGCTAATGTGGTACCAATTTTTAAGAAAGAAGATAGATCACTTGCGTCAAACTATCAGCCAATTAGCCTAACGTCTATCGTGGGAAAGTTACTTGAATCGATAATTGCAAATACAATTCGTCTTCATCTTGAAAAACATAAAT